TATTTCACCCTATTTTCTTTCCTAAGTCCCTTGGGCAGACTTAGGTGTTTCTTTCTCTAGGCTAGCCTGTCATCTTGCACTTTGCTTTCATTACAATAATTATCACTTGACACTATATTTGACAATTTACCTGCCAGGTCAGTTCCCTGAGTTGAGGGCAGGGACCATTTCCTATTTATCTCTATCTACCTAGCATACACTCAGAGCGTAGCAGACGATTTTGCCCATATGAAACACTGTCTCAGCAGAGGGAGTACTTTATTTTCTCTCCTTAAATCTTCGGCTAAAATGCATTTTCTCTATGAAATTTCCCCTGATTACACTTAGTTCACTCTATTCATTGCTTAATTTTGTCATGGCCTTGGGGCTTGGAGAAGAGTCTTCCAACAACAGATTTGTGCTTTAATGATTTAGATTTGATTTTCTCGTCTAGCTTGACCACTCTAAAACACTAAAGGACCATCTACTGAAATCCATAGAAGTGGGGTTCTTAAAAATCAATTCCTGGGAAAAAAGCCACCTGTTTTTATGCTTGGAAAAGCAGTCAGGCATTTATTCTTGCCCTTCCCAAACCAAATGCCCTTGCAGTACACAGTACAAACAGTAAGCCACTCAAGTAGCCAAGCCACCCAAGCCACCCACAGTAAGTCTTCTGAAAGGTACTGAAGCTAAGAGCTGGGGGCAAGACAGAAAGCTGAAATTCCCCTCAACTAAGGAAAGCCCCCCAGCTCCTTGAAAAGGCTTGGGAAGGGCCAGAAAGAAATCAATCTTCCCATGGAGCTCCTGGGATAGACTAACCCGTTGTGCTGCAGCAGTTCCCGAGGGGAGGAAAACAGGGCGCACACAAAATCTCCAGGAAAGTGCTTTCATATGCTCAGTGCCCAGAAGTTACCAACAAGACTAAATAAGTAAAAGTGGAAAGCCTACATTGCATTCATTTGTACTCCCCATACACATGTCGCTTGCTTGAGAGACACAGTGTTTTCCCTAGCTGGACTCCAAAGTTCCTGGAGGCCATCAACAGCATATGTTTCTTTTATAGTTCCCAAATTGCCCACCACACTGAGTATGCAGTATCTGCTGCAGAAACACTTTGTTGTTGACTGATTGATTACTAAGTATTTAACTATTTTTCTTCCCCTCGATGTTTTCAGGAATGCTTGTTATTCACAAAACGGTGCAGTCTTGGAAGCCAAGAGGAAATATTCATCTGTTGGTATACATTTTCCCTTGGCTATGCATTAAACAGAGATTTCCTTTGGCAATGTCAACAAAGGATGCCTGATGAGACAGGACAAAGAACTATATATAGAGATCAAGTGGCCAGAGGAGCAAAGTCAAAGCATGCCCTCCCTTAACCAGATTAAAGGAGTCTTCTTTCTGCTTCTACCTCCTTCCGGAGCTCTCCAGTCCCAACCAAAATAAAAAATATTTTCCAACTGCCTATCCCCTGAATTCTGAAGGCTGGGCTGTGACGGGAACAAGCTGAATTGCTGAAGAATTCAGCGAACAAATCTGCGGTGATCCTAATCTCTGTTTCTGTAATAATAGGAAGAGTGCAGCTTTGTTTACTTTTGAGGAGAACAGAGAACAAGGAGAGAGAACTGAGAGAGAGAGAGGCAGTATTTATGGCCCCTTTATGAAAAGTCAGTCTCTGACAAAAATATTTGCAGACAATAAGGAAGAGGAACAGGTTTGGCAGGAAAATAGCCTCTTCCAGTTTTCTCAGAAGTGCCTTAGCTTGTATCTTCCATCCCCACCCTAAGTGAAAGGTCTGCTTTGCTCTGTGAATATAGTCATTCCCTATAGATAAATCTGGATTAGATAAGATGCAAAAAACTCAAATCATCCTTTAGTGTCCAGTTCTCATGGCAGACGGTATCCTACTATTTATTTCATTTTGGAAACTATTTACAAGCATTTATGGAGTCTCAAGTCCCTTCTTTAACTGCATTTCTAATCCCAGGCCTTGTTCCAAAGCCTCCTGGACACACAGGCTCTGTGCTGAATGAGTATAATGAGTACCCTGGATTCACCCTATTATTAGGAGCCAGTTTAGGGCACATCCCTAACCTTTCAGAAGGGATGATGTCAGAGCCCAGCCGCGCTCTTCCATAAACCATCCTGAACGGTTCCTGTCAAAGACAGAATCCTAAAACTGGAAAGCCAATGGAGTCAAGTCCCGACATACACTCTCACCCTCGACATATAATGCAGTATGTCATGGTTCTTTGCCAACTGTCATTTGACATTTTATTCCATTATCTATATTTCCTGCACATGTATATCTGTATCAGGGTGGATGTGTGCAGCGTGTAAGCCTTCCGAGGGCAGACACTGTGCCTGTGCTCTTTTCTTGGTACCCAGCACAGTGCTGTGCGTAAATACATATTAGTAAAAGGTGACCTTTCGTGTGCCAGAACAGACAGGCCTATACAACGGATTTAACAAGCATCCCTAAGGGAGCTTCTTAATCACCTCCTCTGCTGTTTCATCATGGGGCTGCTCTTCCCTCCCATTTGGCAGCTCTCGTGTCATCTCCTGAAGGCTCAAACAAGGCACTGTTAAAACATCACTTTTACCTAGAGGGGCCGGAATGAGTAGTTCTCTATTAACACAATGATGCATTGTTTTATGAGACTAGCTCCTTGCTACTTGAAAAGAGTGGGGCCCTGCATACAGAGGTTTGATGGGTGCAGTGGGCTGGGAAAGGCCACAACAGGGCTATGTTTGGGTGAGGCTGGTCAGAGTGATACACTTCCCAGGGGCGGGATGATAAGATGTTAGAGAGGTCTTAGGATGAATAAGCAATGAAAATAAACTGCTTACCTGGCTAATTTGACTACAACTCAGACACTATACTTAATAGTCTTTTTGATGAGAATGAGGAAGGTGATAATTATAATTTCTAACCACATTTTATTCACTATTAGCCATTACCCTGCCCTCAATCATTGAAAATTCTAAGCCAAGGGATTCCTTATCTTGTCTCCTGCTTACAATGATTCCTTGTCTCTCCACCAGTATGGGTTTCTCATACTGTAATCTAGCAGCATAATCAGGAGCTTTGATTGAGTGGAACACAGAGGGATTCTGACTAGCTGAAAAGCACTCTGAAATGCCTTCTGTTTTGTTTCTCCCCACTTGTAAAGGATGAAATCAAAGAGCAAAAGAAGAGTATAAAGAAAGTAACCATTCACAGAATCATGACCTGTGAAGTCTGGAAGACACATCAAAGGTCATGTAGTCAGTTCAAGCTCTTATTTTGCAGGTAAGAACACTGAAGCTGAGAAGCTAAATGATTTACTCAAATTCATACTATCAGTTAATGGCAGAGTCAAGTCTAGAAGCCAGCTTTGCAACGTACGTTCGATTCTTTCTTTCCATTCCTTGGGCTTCTCCCTAAATTTCCCACGATATTCCACAATCTCGCACCTGGTATCCTATGTACCCTCCACATAGCGCCACTCTCTTCCACAAATGGGAGTGCCCAGCAGGGATTAAATTGCCATGATATGCTCATCATCCAAGTACACCCCACTTTAAGAAATGCAGTCCTTTAGGGGTGCCTGGGTGGCTCAGTTGGTTAAGTGTCCGTCTTCAGCTTGGGTCATGATCTCACAGTTTGTGAGTTTGAGTCCCACATCGGGCTCTGTGCTGACAGCTCAGAGCCTGCAATCTGCTTCAGATTCTGTGTCTCCCTCTCTCTCTGCCCCTCCCCTGCTCATGCTCTGTCTCTCAAAAATAAACGTTAAAAAACTGTTTTTAATTTTTTTTTGTATTTTTATTTATTTTTTGAGAAAGAGGTAGAGAGTAAGCAGGGAAGAGGAAAAGAGAGAGGGAGACAGAAACCCAAGCAGGCTCCACGCTGTCAGTGCAGAGCCTGACACGGGGCTGGAACCCACGAACTGTGAGATCATGACCTGAGCCAAAGTCAAGAGTCAGAGGCTCAACCGGCTGAGCCACCCAGGCGCCCCAATATTAAAAAAAGTTTTTTTTAAGAAATGCAATACTTTAAGAAATCCAAACAATCAAGAGTGGTTACTCATATAAGATTCTTCTCGCAACAAGAGTCTCATACTCTCTTAAATATAAATCCCTAGGTGGGATTTTACTTGAACCATTACATTTATCTGTCACATGAGTAAGATTAGAACTAGACTATCAGGTTGTAAATAGAATTAGAAAAATTTTTATCTTGTCACTGCCCAGAAGGGGTCCTATAACATTTTACCCAACCCTGTTTAGACTTTAAGCCCTACCATTGCCTCTTTAACAAAATCAACACAAAACCAAATGCTACAGCTGAAGTTCCATGCTCTTGAGAAAGAGGGAGAAATAACATCTTTCTTTTATTACATCCACTTATGAAAAGACTCCTCTTGGAAGCTCTGCTCTATTGATGTAGATATCACGTAGGTAACAAGTTTTGAAAACCTTATACTTGTATGACACTTTATAATTCACAGACAACTTGAACATAGATCTTATTTGTTGATAACAAGAGTAAGTGGCAAGGCGATGAGTGAGGACCAAATGAGGTGTGTGGGGACAAAGGGAGGAGAGGCTAGGAAGAGGAGGAGCAGTCTTGATAATACTGTCGTGGACACAATATTGCACAGAACAAACCTCACCCTACACCAAGGACCCAGGATTCCCAGATCCCCTGTGACACCTCAGAGATCTCTTTAGGGGGCTAAGATGTCCATAACTGATGAAAGAAGAAACACACCTCATGTTGGATTCTCCCATTGCTTGCCGCTTGGAAAGAAGTTCTGTCTCCCCAATCCATCGCCACCATGTATCTATTTTTGTGTAAATAATATCTATCTGCCCCTTTTCTTGGAACAAGCATCCTAAAGGAATGAGACTTCCCCAGAACTGCCATTCAGTCTTTCACTCCAAATGGCTGAGCTACACTCTGACAGAACTCAACTGCCCCCCAACTGACCACCTGATCCAGGTCCTCTGAAGGAAATGCAAATGTTTCTGTTACGTACCTCAACTTGCTGGCAGATCTGTATTAGTTTGGCCATTTGATTTTCTAGTTCACTGTTGCGCTTAACCAGGTTGGTGAGGTTCATCTCCAGAGTTTGCTGTCATCGCAGAGAGTATGAAGCCAGAGGGAAACAGGGAAGAGGGGAAAAAATAAGAAATGTTCAATGAGCTGGAGAACCAACATTATGTGGAGGTCATTTGGTCAATTGACAAACATTCAAAGATTCACTGAGCACTTGCTATGGGCCAAGCATTGTTCTAGGTGCTAATTAACTACACTGTACCTTTTTTGCTCCAGGCTCTCATTATTGGAAAAAAGATGACATTCATGACTTCGTGGATGTAGAATTTCATGATATTAAGGCAACTTTATGTTTTCTATAATATTAACTTTTTAAAGTATTCATAGTATTTTGCCTTCATAGTAACAGTGTGGCATAAGAATAGGTATTATTCTCTCTTTTACAGATGAGTAGACAAAGGGAACTATAATTTATTGAACAATCAGTACTTGCCAGACATTATGCTAGGCGATTTCATATATACCATTTAATAACCATAACAATCCATGAGGTAGGATATGTCAGCATTTTACAGATGAGAACTGAGCTTCAGAATGGGGGTAAAGTGTCCTTCATAGTTCTATAATTAGTATGTGACAAAGCTGGGACTAGAACCCAGGTCTCTTGCCTCAGCCACAGCTTTTTCCAAGTATTTGTGATTTTTTCGTCTTTTTATTGAAACCATTTTAGATTTATCAGTAGGTTCCTTCAGGGGAAAAAAAGACTGTACTTTAATTAAGTGTGAGATTCATCAAGATCGAGCATTGTATGGGGCACCTTGGTGGCTCAGTCGGTTAAGCTTCCAACTTAGGCTCAGTTCGAGCCTCGCACTGGGCTCTGTGCTTACAGCTCAGAGCCTGGAGCCTGCTTCAGATTTTATGTCTCCCTCTCTCTCTGTCACTCCCCCATTCTCTCTCTCTCTCAAAAATAAACATTAAAAAAATTTAGGGGTGCCTGGGTGACTCAGTCAGTTGAGCATCTGACGTCGGCTCAGGTCATGATCTCATGGTTTGTGAGTTTGAGTCCCACGCCAGCTCTGTGCTGACAGTTCAAAGCCTGGAGCCTGCTTGGGATTCTGTGTCTCCCTCTCTCTCTGCCCCATCTCTTGCCCACGTTCTCTCTCTCTCTCACACTCTCTCAAAAATAAACATTTTAAATATTTTTTAATTAAAAAAAATCAAGCATTGTATCTCATAGCTCCTCTTCTTTGGCCCTAAGGACTAGCCCATGGAGACGGTAGACTTCAAAGTGACAACTCCTGGCCATATCAAGATAGGACATCCATGGCTTATCATTGCTTACTGGTACATAGATCTTCTTAGGTGTGCATTAGAACCACTGTGTAAATCTGTTGAATATAACAAAATTACAACAGCACTCAGAACTCTTAGCACATTTTCAGGTGAGCAGGCTGCTCCCTCCCATTCCTTATGTGAAAAAAACACAATGTTCTTTACTCTTGGTTGATAATGGGCTTTTATATTCCTTCCCATTCCCAAGTCTTCAGCTTTGGTGGCTGCTTCTCCTTTAGGACTAGTCCCAAAATCCACTCCTCTCTCACTCACCATCCCAACACCCCCACAAAGTCTGTTCCAAATACCCCAACTTCTTGGCCCTTCCTCTGCTAACATCCCTTCCCTTGGTTGTGTACATTGCTTCATTACGGTCTCCATGGCTCCTTTGGTTTGTGATTGTTCAAAGTTCATGTTTTTGATACAAGGGAATGGAGGGAGAAGCAAAGGGAAGTGGGGGAAGGGGGAGAGGACTCATGTACTTGGCCCCTTTCTTGTCTACTAAGTAGCTGTGGCTCCTTAGTATTCTTGGCACTGTCCCAGGAGTCCATCCCAGAGAATGTATTCCCATGGATATATGTATTTCTACGATGGGCAGTCTGATCTCACTTGTTCTCAAACCAGATTATGAGAACCAGCTTAATCTTCGCTTCCCTCTTGCCAGATTTCTATTAGTTTCTTTGGCTTTATTCCCATGGAAGTGATTTTTCCCCATTTATTCCATTGTTCTTGGTTTGGGCATGGTTTCTCCCCTGGCCCTCTTTAACTCCACAACCATCTCAATCTGTGGCCTTCTCCTTAGCAAGGGCAAAGAGAATGGAGAAGGGAAAAAGAAGGGCAGCAATTGTTGGTTTAGGCATGATCTCTAAGATAAGTAGATATCACAAGAAAAAAAAAAAAGAAATGGCAGTAGTTCAGAGATTTAATACAACAAAAAGTAATGAGTACCTACTCTGTTGAAGGTGCCGTGAATTCAAAGAGAAAGAGGAGGTGACATTAAGGTGGGTCTTGAAGGATAAGTGGGATTCTAACAAACAGAGATGGAGGCGGACAGGGTGTTCCAGGCACAAGGAATAACATGAGTAAAAGAGAATTAAGTATAAGGACATGTTCAGGGAAGAGAAGTTGACTTGGGCTAGAAGAGAGGGTACAAGAGAGTAGTGGGGGACAAGGTCAGAAATGGAGGTGGAGGTCCTGTTTTGAAGGTCTTGAATGCCTAGGTAAGGAATTTGTACCTCCTTTTATTTTTTAGCAGTGGGGACTTCCCAAAGGCTTTTGAGTAAGACAATGACATAATCAGGGCCGTGTTTATGAGATCAATATATCAGCAATATGTGGGGCAGACTGAAACTAAGGCCAGGGACGCTGGTTAAGAGGATGCTGCAATATTCAAGGCAGTTGGTAATGCAAGTCTGGGCCAAGCTGAGAGGATAATCGAGAGAAACATGTTTCAAGAAGGGATCTGTCACTGTCAAACATGCAGAGAGTACAAGAAATATGAGGACTAGTAAAAGGCATTTGGATATGGTCATTAGAAGCCACGAGTGACCTCTGAAAAAGGAGTTTCAGTAGAGTGTTGGAAGCAAATGCCAAAATGCAGAGTTAGGGAGTACGTCAGCAGTGACGATGTGGAGGCTACCAGTCTGGACTCCTCTTCAAAAATTTGGCTGAGTGTAAGTCGGTTAAGCGTCCGACTTCAGCCAGGTCACGATCTCGCGGTCCGTGAGTTCGAGCCCCGCGTCAGGCTCTGGGCTGATGGCTCAGAGCCTGGAGCCTGTTTCCGATTCTGTGTCTCCCTCTCTCTCTGCCCCTCCCCCGTTCATGCTCTGTCTCTCTCTGTCCCAAAAATAAAATAAAAACGTGGAAAAAAATTTTTTTAAAAAAAATTTGGCTGAGTGTGAATAAGATAGAGCTACGGTCTGATGAAAGGGTCCAGCTTAGGTTAGAGAGTGGGCATTGGTAATGGGCTCGATCAGTTTATGACTTCCACTAGCACAGTGGTCCCGATTCCTAGATCAATGGAAAACCCATGTATCACCATCGACTACATTGGCATATTAGGTAAATGTAATGTAGATTGATGAAGTCGGAGCAGACACAGTATTAGAAAGTCATGTTTCAAACTGTATTGCGTTTCCATTCAAACTTAGGATTCCATGGGGAAAATGTTTTCTAACAAGTACATGCAACCTGTTGCAACGCTTGTCATGAAACAAACATCCTATAAATAATTCATAGTACAGAGCAGGACTAAGATCCGTGTGTTCCTCATTTATGGCCCAGAATGGAGACTCACAGTTTCTGTGAAGCCACTGAAAATAAAAATTAGGGCTGAAAGCATAATTTGGGGTCTGGTTAGACTATGGACCTTGGGTTACTGTCACAAAATTGTGGCAAATGGTTATTTTGCTCTGGCCTTCTAGCAATTTGTAGAACACCAGCACATTTTAACAACACAGAATTAGAACTGACAAGATGACTCTAATTTCAACCTTACTTCATTAATATGAAAATGCTTTGAAAAAATAAATCTCTGGCTAATGAAAACACCATCTGTTGATGGCTTTTTGCCACTGTTTTGTTACATTACGAGACATAATTTGAGGAAAACCCTGAACATTTATTTACTCACTTCCTATTCATTTACAAGGAATTAAAGCCTCCTCTCAAACTGAAATTGATTCTCAATAATGAACATATGCAAAGGGAAGCAGAGAATTGATACAATTATGCAGTCTATTTCCTCACCCTTCCTTATCATGCCTAGCACTGACAAATCACTTAGAACTAGAAATTCTGGGCCACTTTAGGCTTGAGTCATTTCATTGATTTAGCCAAGTAATTATCTTGCCTATCCTCTGGCGGGGCAGACCAAGAGAGTACACGTATGTATGTGTTTGTGTGGGCATGCATGTGCCTCTGTGTGTGCGTGTGTGTGCGTGTGCGTGTGCATGTGTGTGTGTGTGTGTGAGATTATATAGTCTCTATATGTAAAACTAAACATGACTCTTCATGGTTGTGTTGTGTTTGGCTTTTAAAAATTGGTTTGTTTTGCTCTTCTCTTGTGTCGTCCAGTTAATCACTGGGCCAGGCTCCCTGTGTCCAGGCCTAGTTTAGTGTGGCTTTCTAGAACAGTTGAACCATGACAAAAGAGAGAGCCAAAGTGGCAGGGGATGTTGGAATGGAGATATCTGCTGGGAGGAAATGGGGACGGGAGGTTGGCAGGGGAGCAGGATGAAGTTCCCATTTCCTACTGCAGGAGGTTACCTCTGGGTCCTTCCGTGCTTTCCCTGTGTGAGAGTTAGAGAAGCCATTTGCACTATGAAACTGAGATCCTCTTCACCTCTGGATGACTCCATCATTACAGCTTTCACAAAACTGTACACACGTCTCAATGGCACAACGTGAGGGGAATATTTGGCTGATTTGCATAATTGAGGTTTTAAAAGGCCCAAGTTAGCTAAACTGGCGGTCAACACGGATTCCATTTTTATCCAGTTTCCACTTCATTTGTATCATATACACTTGACCTCTTTGTGTTCTGTTATACCCTTCACAAAGAGGAAAATGTTTCCCGATTCTGAGAAACCAGGCTCAGGCTATTCTTCCAGACAGCATCCCATAAAAAGAAATGGGATAATTGCTGGGATTTTTTTTTCATTTCTTTAGACACAGGTTGTTTCAGATTAACTTTCCCATTGGCTCCCTCAAGAAACCAAGAGGCAAAACACTGCCTCTTCATGA